CCCATCATTGGACAATAGGCTAATTCTATTACATCTATATAGCTCTTAGCGATGGACAAAGAGTCAGACTTGTTATTTTACTTAGCCTTTAAAAATGGGCAAAAGGCTACACACTTCTACACATTTTCATTACACCGGCTCCTAGAAACAGATAAAGGGTCCCTCTTGACATATTTTATTTTACTGACTCTCAGAAATGGACAAAGGGTTAGTGCAAGTTGGTACATTTAGCGTGAGGCTAGTAGCAGTTGCGACCCGACAGTTGGTTGAGATGGCTACCCTTTAACCATAAAAATCCATCAAGTTGTGGCCGATGGCTTCTTGGTAGTTGCCCGTGCATAGTGGTATGGTGCCTAACGAGTAAGAACAACTAAAACTATCCTCTGATGGTGCAAGTTTAGTAAAAAGGGTCATTGTTTTATAGTGGTATCACACCTTTTCCGTATCAAAGGCGATGGATGTAGTTGGTGATCCTCCTTCCATGGACAACACTCCACCCATTTTTATCATATTCTCTCACCTAGGTCACCTTTGACCTTCCCCTTTGGCCCTCCCCTACCTTATTCATTTCTCCAGTTCTCACACTGCCTCTGCCTCCTCTCACTCTTGGACTCTCTGTGTCTCTCACCCCTTTGGCCCTCCCCTACAAATCTCAAACCTTAAATCCCCCGCTGCACCGCTGTTGTGCCACTGCTGCACCGTTGCTATGTCGTTGTTGCGCCCCTGCTGCGCCCCTACTACGTGCCTACTGCGCCCCTCCTACGCCGCTACTGCGCCCCTCCTACGCCGCTACTGCGCCCTTGGCAACGCTTATGTCAATTATGGAAATCCTCAAGATGGTAAAATCAGTGAAATTTGGACTGATATCTTTGTGTTGTGTTGTTTGGATGTGAATCTGACTTTGAATTTGATGTTTCCAATCTTGATTGATTGGGTGATATTCATATGATCAATGGGAGCATGTTTGGATGTTTTTCAGTTCTGGATTTCTAGTTTATTAATATATAATTTGTCTTGATCACAGAGAATTTGCATGTGATTTTGATTATTTTACTAATTTGCTAATAAGATAATTGATAAATCTAGGATTCTTTATTTCAATCTAGATTTTGGTATGTTTTAAGGGTTTGTAGATTCTGTGGTTCCTTGCTACTTTTTGCATCGTCAATTTTACAATTTTTACAAATTTTGATCTTGCAAGATAGCCGCTTTGACACCAATTGTGGTTTGTTGAATTGCAGCTGCTACTGCCAGGGAACTTTTGAACTTCACCAATTAATCTTTATTTATGGTGGATGTAAAAAATATATATTTAGATATTAATTGGTGGGGAATGGAGATCCATGCGAAGATTTTTATTCCTCGCGGAGAATGGGGACGAGAGGCAAAATTTGCTTTCTGTCAAAAATCCCCGCGGGAATCCTCGTCCCCATCATTCATGGGGACGGAGACAGGAGAGACTCTCTGGCCGCGCGGGACGCCGTTGATATCCCTAGTTACGATTGCGGATGGACACGGACATTTTTGCAGTTGCGGCTCTAAACGATGTCCATCTTTAACTTGTCAGCTGCCATCCCCACCTGTCAGTACCTGATGATAAGACAGGAGAGAATGCTCGGCATCTTCGTTCATGGAATTAGAAATTTCTTCTTTCTTTTTGCTAAGCAAAGGACAACCTTTTCTTCTTTTTCTTCTTTTTCCTTCTTCCTTTTTTCTTCTTTTTTTTTTTTACGTGTAAAAAATTAAATAATTTATATTTTAAAACAATAAAATGCAAAGTAGAGATATTATCCCCAGAACTTTGCTTTTCGGTCGAAAAATTGAAAGGTATAAACAGTATAAAAAAACTAGCTATAGGTTAAGAAAACAAATTCTTCCCCAATATTTCTATGATTTTATAACTTGAATCTTCAAATTCTGTGATTAACAGGAATTATTATAGATGTTCTCAAATGGGGTTTGGGTGTCCTGCGAAGAAGCAGGTTGAAAGAAATAGAGAAGATCCAACTCATGTGAATACAACTTATATAGGGGTCCATAACCGCAGCCCTCCTTGGAGTATATTGTTTCCTCAGGTTTTGAGTTCTTTCACTAGTTAGTCTAGTCTTTATATAGAAACTCCTGAAAATTTTTTGCAGCAAAAAAATTAACATCAGCATCGTCGACATGATACAGAGTTTTGAAAAATAATAATTTTTTATTTTCTTGTATGATGAAAAAAAACAGACAATCATGATACAATGAAAAGTATTACAGGAAATTACTAGTACATGGTTTTGCCTTTGCTAGCTTCAATGCATTCAAATATGTTCGATGTTAACAATTGACTGACAGTCAACTTAACTCCCCATTATAGTTGATTTCCGATGCAGCAATTACCATACCATGAACTATCTTGTTCAAGCTCAACTGATTAACACCTAAGAAATGATTTGAATTTGAAAGAATAATAATTCGTTGCATGAAAAAAATAATAAATGGATTTAAGAATAAAAATTATTTTTGCATTTAATTTGAACCTTAAGGTACATTTCATTAAATATTTTTTAAATAATTGTAATGTACTAATTTTTTTATTTCAAATTTAAATCTTTAATGTTTCAAAAATAATATATAATCATTATAAAATTATTATTATATAATTATTACATAATTTATTTTTATTTAAATATTTATTTATAATATTTTATGTATTTATTTATTTATAATACTTCATATATTTATTTGTGATGTAATCAATTTAAAATCCTCATTAAAATTTTTTCTTTTTATTATATGTGTAAATTTCCGTAATTCCAGTCAATCGTCTGACACTTAACAAAAGAAGTCAAAATCATACCGTATCGGTCGGTACAATCGGTACGTATTAATTTTAAAAATTGATCGAAATGATATAATATTAATTTTCATTTCGATTAAAATTTGGTCATTTCGATCAAAATTTGATATATCGATCGAAATTTTGGTGTACAGACCGGTTCACCAAAATTTCAGTCGGTACACACTGCAAATTTACTAGGCTAAGGGTTTTTTCATAGCTTTTTTTTTTTTTGGTTTCCCGTCCGGTATCTGGGGCTTCGCCCCTACTAATCCGGATCGACCCGTGTTGCGCACCTGGAAATGGTGGGTGAGTCTCTCAACGGAGGTTGCTGCATTCACAAGGTCTCGAACTCGAGACCTTACTTAAGCTGGAACAAGCCGCTTACCACTTGATCTAACCCTTCGTTAGTGGGTTTTTTTTAGCTTGCAACTGCAGTACACAGGAGTCCGTACAACTCAATTCAAATTTAAAAGGGTAAATTTTATTTTTGATCCTCAACTTTAATGTCATGTATAATTTTTATCCTTTAACTTTTTTATGTACTTTTTTAGTCCATTTTTC